CCCACACCCAACAACCAATATGTCATCTGCTATAGGCTCCACCCCCCTTAGTCCTGCGAGTAGTTCATGCTGTTTCGCTGGTAAATCTCTGGGGCCACAGATACGCCAAATGGTAGCTTTAACCATCGCTTTCTGCCCCATGGTGTCCAGAAAGTGGTTGGATAGCTACTAGACTCATCTAACCTGCACTGTAAAAAGGCATCTCGCGCATCTACTAGGGTAAAAATGCGGGACCCAGGCAACTTGTATAATACATCCTCAAGTGTCGGCATAATGTAGTGAGATCTCTTTAGAGCCTGATTTAGTGACTTAGGGTCAATACAAATCCTCAACTTCTCTGGCTGCTTGACAATAACCATATTACTAATCCACTCAGTGGGCTCTGACACTGAAGTTAAATGGCCATCTCTTTCATATTTGTCTAACTGAGCCTTAACTGCATCTCTGAGGGCCACTGGGACGTTGCGTGGGGAAGCATGTACTGGGGTTACTTTTGTATCTAGCTCAAAATGAACATCCCCTGGGAGTGACTCAACAGGATCATTAAAAACGTCATTGTATGATTGCCCAAGATGCTGCCTAGTTAATGGCTCTGAGCTGCTGTGTTCTACCCTAAGAAGCTCCTCAGGGATGGTAAACTGCATTAAACCCAAGCGCTCACTAGTCTCACCTGACAGTAGGGGTCTCTGTCCGCTTCTCACAATCTCAAACTGTAATTTATGGGCTTTTCCTCTCACTACACAGTCTGTCTGGAATATGCCTATGGATTGCATGGACTGGCCTGAATACAGTACCAACCTGGTCTGACTTGGCAATAGCTTTGCCTCGGGAGCAAGTCTCCTCATATCTTTTATGCTCATAACATCACATGTTGCACCTGAGTCTAACTGGCATCTCTGAAAACCTCCATTTATTTTTATATTAGCAAACCATTTCTTTCCACGACCCTGAACTGCCCCTATGCTCTCTGCTGTGTATATGTGGGCATCTGTGTTAGACATGTCCATGTCTACTTCCCCATCTGCAGCATGGAGTTGTCTTGTAGCTTGACCCTTCTTCATGCACACCTTGGCAAAGTGATTTGGAGTCCCACAGCTCAGACAGTTCTTTCCGAATGCTGGGCAAAAGTCACGTCCGCGCCTGTGCATGTTGCCACAAAATCTGCATGTAGTACTCTCGGGTGTGTTTGTGGTCTGATTTTGAGATCTGTCCGAGTGTTCTTGCCTGGGTGGTGCTCGTGGACGACGGCCATCTGTTGCATGCACTGTCTCTAGTGACCTGTCCTGTGTGATTGCTTGTATCCTGATGTCTGTCATTTCTGCAGCTCTGCATATCTCTATGGCTGATGCTAGTGTGAGATCTTTCTGTCTGAGTAGACGGCGGCGTACATTTTCATCACTCACCCCCAGCACCAGTCTGTCTCGAATTAATTCCTCTTTGAGTTGTCCGTACTCGCAGGAAGCAGCCTTCTCCCTCAGTTTAGTTATGAATGAATCAATGGGCTCGCCCTCATCTTGCTTACAGGTTCCAAAAACAAATCTCTCGAATATTATATTTCTTGCTGGTTTAAAGTAGGTCTCCAACGCATCCAGGATAGCATCCGCGTCCTTCCCGTGCTCCTCCGTCAGCCCCAGGTTATGCTTGTATATGTGACGACATTCACTGCCCATCACTCTTCTTAGTGTTGCTGCTTGCACATCTTTACCTTTCTCCTTTAATCCTGTAGCTCATACATAGTCCTCATATTCAGACCTGAAATTGTCCCAGTTACTTGCCAGATCGCCACTCATCTTCATCACCTCCGGTGGCGGTATATTAGCTGCCATGCTGTTCCTTGTTGTCTTAGCTTGCTGCTAACAGCTGCTTCACTCACTTCACTTAAGTCTTTTCCGTTTTGTTTTCCTTCCTTCTACCAGCCCCCTCAATGGAGCGTTTTGCACTCTCCCTCACCGGAGGCTGGTTTGGTCACTTCTGACACCATGTTTCTGTATGTATGTTGCAGAATAACGAGACACCGGACACAAGAGTGTTCGTTATGTGTCGCTGTATTCGAAACTGCCGGCCGTACAAACAAGCGCACGTACTTCGCCCGTGCTGCTGGGGCAAACCATTCTGAAAGAGGGGGGTTTCACTCCCCCTAACATGGTTGACCGAGTGTTACGGCAAGCGAGGATTTTTTCATTTTAAAACAAAGCATTACTCGACGGGGAACAGTGCTTTTTTTTTTGCTTTTTTTAAACCAGCCGTGCGAGTGCTGTTTTACTGCCGCAATGCTGCCGCGTTATTTGGAAAGAAAAGTTAAGGTTAAGTTATTAATCATTGAGACCTCTTTCTGTGTACCGTCTTTCTTTGCAAATACCTCATGTTACAATGTGGGCACCTGCGGCTTACAGGTCTGGCTTGTGTGTGTACACAATGTGTTTTCCTTTAAAAATGTAGTGGGTGTGGCTTATAATCAGGTGTCCTCTACAGTCCGGAAATTACAGTAATTTAAAATTCCGATTTTCCCCTCGACTTCGACACCCGAGATCACAGTGCGTAAACACTAAAATTATACTGGTATGACTGAGACATCTCATGCCTACATGTTAGCATCCATACACCTTTAGTTGGTTAATTTCAATTTATAGTTGTGTGACAACGAATAAATAAACAAATAAATAAATAAATCCGCAGGTGTGAGTGTGAGCACAAATGGTTGCTCGTCCTGCGATTGTCTGGCAACCAGTTCAGGGTTTACCTCGCCTACTGCCCAAAGACAGCTGGGAAAGGCTCCAGCACGCCTGCAACCCTTGTGAGGGTAAAGTGGTTCGGATATATTATTACAGCTCATTTTTCATTAAAAGGGAGTATTAACAGTGTTTCATTCTTACAACAACATAGCACCATTTCAATGCATGGCACCACTGAAGCCTTCCCAAATGTTGCACCTGAAAAGTCTAAAATGCGAGTGGTTAGCGCGTTGACCTAACAGTGCAGAGGTACCGGGTTCAATTCCAGCTCTGGCCTCCCTGTGTGGAGTTTGCATGTTTTCCCCGGGCCTGCGTGGGTTTTCTCCAGGTACTCCGGTTTCCTCCCACATTCCAAAAACATGCATGGCAGTCTGATTGAACACTCAAAATTGTCCCTAGGTGTGAGTGTAAGCCTGAATGGTTGTTCGTCTCTGTGTGCCCTGCGATTGGCTGGCAACCGGTTCAGGGTGTCACCCGCCTACTGCCCGAAGACAGCTGTGATAGGCTTCAGCACCCCCCACGACCCTTGTGAGGATAAGGAAAATGGATGGATTTTGATTGATTCACATTAATATCCTCTGCTTGTGAAAAAAAAAAATCTATGAAGCTGGGATGTGTAAAATAAAAACAGAATCAATCGTTCACATTCTTTTCAAATTCTATTCAATTCGATACATTACAAAAACAAGAGTTCATGTTCAAACTCATGTCCGCAGACATGATGAATGGGACTTAAAAATAAAAAATATATATATTTTTTGGTTAAAATTACAAATTTTGTGTTTGTTTACTTTGGCTTAAGACTTTGTCAACCTTGAAGAAAAGCCTCTTTGAAGGAAAGTACCAGTAATAAACATGATTTGATTGATTAAAGATTATTAAATGCTATCGCGATAGCGTCATCTCCAATCGTACATTTATATCATGGTTTCTGTGTTGTATTGTCATTTTTATGATGAAATATGAACGGCCAAAACAGATTGTGCGCTGTCTCCCTCAGCAACGATGGAGGTATATTATCATGTCAGGCACAGCTTTTTCAAAGGCAAAGCACACAGCAACGGCTTGCGCAAGATGTAATCGTATCACAGCTGTCACCCGTGCAAATTGCATTGTCTACTGATTCTATCGCTGTGACCAGCAAGCAGTCTCTTTGATGCCTTTTTCCTTTCCATTTTTTATCATGATGTCATTATTTGTGTCACTGCTGCTTTTTGCATTCATGTATTTGACAAGTCCGTCTGTATTTTCTTTTTGCTCCAGGTTTACAGACATTCCTATATGGCTTCCTACAGCATCTACAATATCCACACAAGGTAATTGTGGCCGTCCTCATTATTCGTTGCAGTCACGGAAGCAATCTTGTTTGCAAATTTGTTTAACATCGATTATTGACTACAAAGAATTTTTTCCTCCCAAAAAATTTAGTGAATGATTTTTTCTCTGCATTGTCTGCTTTTCTCCCACAGTTCTATTTATTGTTGAGTTTCATTAAGGTTAATTGAAATTACTTCCTCTCCAGTAATAGTTTGAAAGGGAATGCATTTTTGCGGGTTGAGGGGACAGGGATGACCCTACACAGGTTAAGGTGTAAAAAGTGTTTGGATTGATGGTAGTGTCCTCAAGAAAAAAATACTTCGTCGCCGAACCATTCACACGTGAGGAAAATGAGACACCACGAAAATATTGGTAATGTGAGGATAATTAAATATGTAATGGCATGTTGTCATCAAATAAGTAGGAGATTGAAATTAGTGTTGCTTTCAACCACAAAAATTATAACAAAAGATCTTCGGTACAGTGGCGGAGCTTGACTTTTATCATTGGGGTGGCCATACGGTGGCCAAGCCTAACTAACTCAGCGCGTCTGCAAACCAAAAATTTGGAAAAACCTCATCATCAATCACCATCCACTTTATATTGGATAAAATGTGCACATGCATGCATTTATGTATGCTGCGCACACACACACACACACACACACACACACACACACACACACACACACACACACACACACATATAGTTTCTGTTAGAAACAGGTTTTGATTCCTACAGAAGAAATAAATAGTGTATCACGTTAAGCTGCAATTTGTGTTGTTTCGCTTGAGAAAGCATTTGCATCCCCCTATGCAATCGCCCCGCCCCCATATTTTATTGATACTGTAGGCTTTATCCATCTATTTATTTATGTATTACTATACTATTCGGTAAAATAGAGGCTCAAGAGTTGTGCAAAACAAACAAAAAAAAAGTTACATCACAACAATACACAAATCTTAAAAGTAATGCTGTAAAATAATTACCGTATTTTCCGCACTATAGGGCGCACCAAAAAGTCTTCAATTTTCTTAAAAGCTCATCGAGTGCCTTAAAATCCGGTGCGCCTTGTGCATGGTCATTACGGTAATAAATCGACTCCAAGATGGCTCCTTGCTGGAGACATGTTTCCGATGTTATAACTTGCTGTTGGTTCAGTGAACTGTGTCGCTGCTTTATTAAATAAGTTTGTAAGTAACCTCCACAGACTGATGACTAAAATTTGCCGAATAGTATCAAGAAAGATACAATGACAAAATTGGTCAGAAAAGGCTTCACTAGAAGTGTAATTTTAATATGAAAAACATGAGAGTTGAACTTATTGGAAATACTTTTTAATTAAATTCTTTTTATTAATTATTGCTCTTCCTTTACTGTTCTAAAACAGATTAATGCTTGACCATGCTATACCATTCTAATATATATATATATATAATTGGGAGCTGGACCCTCCAGAAGTGGTAAACTCAGTCCTGCAGTACGCTGCCTGGGGAGTGCAAGGCCAACAACTGGTTCGAAAACACAAACTAGCCTTCAAAGCTTTTCTGTTTTATTCCACTTCAGCAATTGCTTTACACATTGATCTTTACAGGATCGATGATCTCAAAAGTATATGTTGTTGATCATTGTTACAATTTTATGCTTGTGAACCAAGTCGCCTGTGCCTCTTATCTGTGTTCATTTGTCAAATGGTTTTTGTTTGTTCTTTGTCCTTCTAGATTTACATATTTGAAAATAACATTTACTATCAGTCTGATGTGAAGAGTAACTCTCTAAGGCTGACATCCTCAGGAAAGGAAGGCGTCATATTTAATGGGATTGCTGACTGGCTTTATGAAGGTAAAACACATTTCGCATCATTTTAATATGTCCATGTTTAATCCATCCATCCATCCATCCATCCATTTCCTGATCCGCTTATCCTCACGAGGGTCGTGGGCATGCTGGAGCCTATCGCAGCTGTCTTCGAGCAGTAAGCGGGGTACACCCTGCACTGGTTGCCAGCCAATCGCAGGGGACGGATAGAGGAACAACCATTTGCGCTCACATTCAGACCTAGGGACAATTTAGAGTATTCCATTGACCTGCCACAAATGTTTTTGGAATGTGGAAGGGAACCGGAGCACTCGGAGAAAACCCACGCAGGCACGGGGAGAACATCCAAACTCCACACACGGGAGGCCGGAGCCGGAATTGAACCCTGCACCTCTGCACTGTGAGGCCGGCGTGCTAACCACTCGCATTTTAGACTTTTCAGGTGTAACATTCAGGAAGGCTTCAGTGGTGCCATGCATTGAAACGGTGCTATGTTGTTTTCTTATTATAGAAGGTGACTATAGTCCTGCGATTGGCTGGCAACCAGTTTGGGGTGTACCCCTCCTACTCCCCAAAGATAGCTGGGATAGGCTCCAGCATGCCCCGCGACCCTTGTGTGGAGAAACGGATCAAAAAAATGGATGAATGCATTTTCTTAAAGGACAGCAGTTGCTACGCCACTCACTACTCGTATAATGTGCGGGGTTCTGCCACAATATTTCATGAGTGGTCAAATCGACTTTCCCGAGGCAGTCTTCACCCGTATGTAATTTAGCGAAGGTTTTAGATGGGTCTGTCATTTGCTAACATGGAAGAATCCAGCATTCTCTGTTTTGGAACTGGCTGAATGGCAGCTAGCTTCAGGGGTTGGGAAACTCACCTGATTGAAGTGAGTAAGTTACTTACTATGTGCTGCAACACAGCAGATTTCGCAATCGTTTTGAAAAAGTCAGGGATTGAGCCAGTGATGGTTTCAGCTGTTGAACTATTTCTGTTTGTTGACTGATCAACTGAAACAAATTGGCATGTTAATTTAGCTATTCCTTGGTGGTTTTGGGTGTTGCATCCATCCTCCCATCAAGCCATTTTCTTCTGCTTATCCGGGGTCGGATAGCGTGATTTTGAGTATCTGCTTCACTTATGCGCAGAGTAGGCAATTTTTGTGCATTATGAGTGAACGAGGCCCATTGTCTGTCCAGATCAAAGTGAATTTGGGGTTTAGTTCATCTCCACTTATACTCTGTTTTCTAGCATTTTAATTTTAATTCGAAGGGCATTATCATCATTGTGCACCTCCAAGAATAGCAAAAGAGGGATCTTTGACCATTCTTTTGCACACTCTCTCTAAATCATCCATCCTATCCTCTGCGCTCTCATCGATTGCTCACTCCACAGATTTTCAATGGGGTTGACATGTGGGGACTGAGATGGCAATGGGAGTAGTTAGATAAAATCTGTGTCTGGTGAACTATTCCTACAATTTTCAGTATTAGAGTATGCTTCTGCAATAAAAACAAAATGTGTGTGTGTGTGTGTGTGTGTGTGTGTGTGTGTGTGTGTGTGTGTGTGTATGTATGTATATATATATATATATATAAAATCCTCGTCTCACCCCTCGGTGGAGTCCGTCCCTCATTCAGCTCGGGCCAGGAAGCTTGAGGGTTCTGCGCAGTGTTTTTTTTTCTGGATAAAAAAAATGGTCAGCTGGATTCTCAGCACTATGGATTCTTTTTGTTTTGATGAAAAGAGTCTTCTTGCCCCTCTGAGACATTGGCTGCTGGGCACACCTCAGATCCTTGGCAGAAGTGAAGTTTGGTTTGCCTGACAATATTGTCTGTAGAGGATGTGGAAGACAACTACAATATCAGAATCAGAATCAGATTTATTGGCCATGTATGCAAAAAAAAATACAAAATGAATTTACTTACCAGTTACAACCTGTTCAGAGGAACAAAACAACAATAATCAACATGGGGGAGACGGTGGGTCGCTGTTAAGCGCCCCTATATCTTAGATGTAAAAGGAAAATAGTCGGGAAGAGGAGGGGAAGAAAAACATTGCCCCTGCAATTGCAAAGCCAAGACCTTATCAGTCACATGCCCGGGGGGTACAAAAATTGGGAGTTGGGACTCGTTTTTTCCATCCAACAAAAGTTCAGATAACTACTGTTTTGGGTACAGGCCCTCAGCAATTTCAGACAGCCTTGAATGTCTTTCAGCACGTGCCTCTCCATGGCATCAATCTGCCAAATTCTTGATCAATCAGTCAATCAATTTTCCAGGATGGTACAACTACTCACGGTCTTTTACATTTTGCGAAGCGACTCCAAAATCATCCACTTTGCTGTTGAGTTCAGTCAACACATGAGTCTTAGTGTTGATCACCCACCCCACACCTTCCACGTAGGCCGTCAGCTTTTTCCCTTCCAATGAAGCTGAAGCAGCGGGTTTAATTTTGCGATAGATCAGGAAACTGCGAACACCAAATAGCAGGATACCTGTTTTCAAAAGGCCAATAATGAAGATGTCTTCCACATCCTCTACGAACACTATTGTCAAGAACACAATTCTCCACTTCAGCCAAGGATCTCAACTTTGTCCAGCAGCATATGTCCCAGAGGGGCAAGAAGGCTCTTATCGTCGAAAAAAATTATCCATCGTGCTGAGAGTCCAGCTGACTAATTCCATGGTTTGGTTTGTGTTTTCGGAAGAAAAAATAATACAGAGGCTATACCAAGACAGAGGACAGCACATTAGGCAAAGTCAGCAAACAGAGGAGCAAAGGGAAGGAGTGGGGGAGGGAAATGGGTCGAACAGCACAAAAAGTGTCCTCTTTCACTGAGAGCTAAAGCAAGAAAAATATTGGCCTTCTGCTAATAGGTATCCTGCTGTTTGGAGTTGGCAGTTTACCGATCTATCGAAATATTCAGCTGGCGGGAGCAGTTTCATTAGACGAGAACAATTTGCCGGACATTCTGAATGGTGCAGGGTGGATGATCAATACTCAGACTCATGTGTTGGCAGAACTCAATCGCAAAGTGGATGCGGTGTTGGAATCGCTTCGCAAAATGGAAAAGAACAAAGTGTACTTGATCCGGCCTGGGATAAATGTCATGACTGATCAATGATTCGGCTAATTGATGCCATTGAGAAATCACAAACTAAAAGACTTCCAAGGCTGTCTGAAATTGTGGACGGCCTGTTCCCAAAACAACTGCAATCTGGACTTTCCCCTGGTAGGAAAAAATTCGATTGAACGTGAGCATTCCTATTTACTCTTTACTCCTCCTTCCCGAGCCTGAGACTGATAAGCCACACGTGCTTGACATGCAGACAGCAACAAATGATAATCACAAAATGCCCTGCAATATCAACGCCTTCGTCGGATTCCTCTTGACTCGAGCCCCACGTGTTCCAACTTGATTGGCTGTAGTGCGCCCATGCTGAGCTTACTCACTGGTCTGGTTGTGATGTGTCCCCTACTACCACCTCCCACCCAACTTCCTTCCTCCCCGTTCACTACGTCAAGTTTTGAGATTTGTTGCACTAGTTTTTTAAATGTACACTCTATGTGCTGAGGGTTTTTTCTCTAGCTCAAACCTTGCTCCTACTTAAGGAGAATAGTTGGAGTCTGTCGGTTTTCTTCCCTCTCTTTTCACATCTAAGATATCAGGGCGCTGAACAGCAAACCACCAGGCTTCCCCTTCTGTCTCCTCCTGTTGGTCATTGTTTTGTTTCTGTTCCTCTGACGGGTTGTAAGTGGGAAAGTAACTTCTTGTGGTTTTTTTTTTTTTTTTTACATACTTGGCCAAAAAATGTGGTTCTGATTCTGTTTGCTGCTTTGTGTAATCATAGGGTCTGAACGATGGGGAAGGTTAAGGGTTAAGAAAATGGGAGGTGGACATGGTTTAAGTTAGATTTCAATATTGATGAGCTTATTCATCTAGTCATTGATCTCCAGGAGAGTCTCCCTAGCTATTTTGGCTGGAAATGAAGTAGAACGGGAAACATTAAGACAATATGGAGCCTTGCGTTGGGGCTTGAGTTGAATCTGGGGATGGGGAAGCCTCAGTCTGTTTGGGTGAAGTTGAAGCTTCCTTATGCTGTCGTATCTGTTGTTCTGCATGTTCTTGTCATTTGTTTTATGTTAGTGCAAGCCAATGACAAACAAAATAAAAAATGTTGGAAGTCACTATAATACAACAACACTGTTTTGGAAGTTTGTGGTATAATACTGTTTAAACTCTTATTGTGTCAAATGTTGTCCACTCAGCATCTACTGCAGCCTATTCATCCTAGAAGGGGATTTTCCCATCTGCGGGCCCCTTCTCAGCATTTCTCATTCTTCCTTTTTTGTTTGTTTGTTTGTTTGTTTGTTTTTAGTTTTGTTCTTCCCACCTGGTGGTTAAGATCAGGTGATGTCAACGGTGGGACTTTTTGTGATTAAGGGCGATTGAAATAAATTTGACTTGACTCTTAACATTTTTAGGGGGTTGTCACTCACCTGCATTTTTTTCATTTGACACGGAAGGGCTTGATCGTTGTCCCTCTAAAATAGAGGGCGATTACTGTGCCAGCAGTTGAAATGATTTTTTTTTCCACCATGGGTGGCTTCGAACACTGTTCCTTACAATGGATGACAATTATCAGGGAAAGGCGGGGGTTAAAGTGATACCTTGTCTCTTCAATACTAAAGTGACTCTCAATCACCTCTTTTGTAGCTCCGTGGTTTAATTAAACAGACAAACACACGCTTAATTAGGTGCTGACAAGTAGTCCCTTTAATGTTGTCTTTATCTTGGGCAGAAAAAAAAAAACGATCTTGCTGTCGTAAAAACAAAAAGGGTGCAGCAATTGACTGATTTTTGTTATTATGGGAAATTTAGCTCATGCAACCTCACCTCAGTTTGCAATAACTTCTGCTTTCTTAACAATTAATTCATTTCAGAAAAGTTTGCTCTGATGAAACAGCATTAAGAATTGAAATGCAGTAAAAGTGATGATTGTGCGCCTTCAGAGGAGATCCTTCAGACCCATGTGGCACATTGGTGGTCGCCGGATGGAGAGAGATTGGCCTTCCTCGTGCTGAATGAGAGTCAGGTGCCCAACATGGCTTTGCCTCGATTCACTGGCATGACATACCCCAAAGGAAAACAGTATCCTTACCCCAAGGTAAGTCTTGCTTATTATAGAGGCCCAATCTTGAGATTTCAGAGGTGGTTGTCACAATGTAAACAATTTCTGCGGAATTACCTCACATTTTAGGTATTAGTTGATATTGAATTAGAAGTACAAAAAGGTTTTCGTACCATAAAGTTATTTCTGCACTGTTTCACAAAACAAGTCTAGATATATGTTGCACAGAAAAAATGCCCACTCATATTTTACTTTGCCTTAACTGTCTTACACCAAGTCTTACAGGCAGGGCTGTTTTGCCAACACATCTAAATAACATTTCTGCATTTATTTTTCTGCAATATTTCAAAGTTATAAAAATCAATCTTATAAACGCTTCCGGCAGTGATGTCGGCGGGTTGGTGGAAAAAAAAGAGCAACAACCTCTGGTGACTTAAAATTCCTTACTTGCACCTCGGCTTACATTAATGTTAGGTTGCGTTTTCCCTTTTTTGTGGCGTTAAGACAAAAAGCTGAACTACTCTAAGTGACACCGCCTGAGATAATCTTCACGGCAGGAACTTCAGACCCATCACTATCAATCACTGTCATTCTTAGAGAATGCAGTATGCCATTTATCCACTGACAAACCCCTTGCCCCTTCCATCTCTCATCTCCAAGGTTCAGTCGGACCCGAGTGCTCATCTAGCATTTCTCAAATGCTAAAACTCACCAAGCAGCAGCAGTGCCTAAAGTTTCCTTCTCACACTGGGATACATGCTTACAAGAGGTTGACACTGGGGAAAAAATAATTGCTGTTTATGATTGCAAATGAAATATTATTCAGTATTTTATGAAGCATTAGTACATAAACGTATGTGCAGAGGTGAGCAAGTTTCAAAATTTTGCCAAGCCATCATTTGTCATCTGTCAGCAACTCAGGCATCTGTCAGTCATCGTCAGTCCGTCATTTTTTTCAAGCCAGCCCAAACTGTAATCATTACACGGTCAGCCCGGGATTTTATTTTAAACGCACTTCCGTATTTGCTTCCATCTAGAATTGCTTCCATCTGTAAATTTCACTGTAAATTTAATTAAAAAGGTAAATAGTGTGCACTCTCTTTAAGTGTATCAACATCATATGGTGCCTTGCCAAAGACCTTTACAAACACCTACACATATATATTCGTTGGAAGCAAATTGTGTATGTATTCAGCCCTGCAAACAAACACACGAGACTCATAAAGAAATATAGAAGGTTTGTCTTATCCAAGCAAACTGAAGTGTTGTCATCTGGTTCCACCTCCATAGCCAATCTCAGCCGGCCATCACAGTCCCTGCAGGGATTGAAAATAGTCGTACGCACTCACACACAGTCAATGCAGAACCCAGTGAACAAATACATGCAATACAGGCGAGAGCGTCTTTCTTTTAGTTGTCAGCGAAATGGGTGTCCATCAGTGATGGAATGAGAGGTCTGTCGGTACTTGACACGGTTTGTGACAATTACACAAATGAAGAAAAACCTACTTCCGTCAGTGCTCAGTCTGTCATTTCTTGATATTTTTTTCAGTTTCCCATCATTTGTTCGCAAAACGGTCCTTCTGTCAGGACTGATGGAATGCTCCCCTCTGCTTATGTATATGTCAAATCTTTTTCATTTATGCAAATCAATCAGTGCAATTTCGGAAAGTATAACATTCCTTTCAGTGAACTTTTTGTGCTAATTACCTGTCAACTCTTTATATTTCCAATCAAGGATAATAACTTTTTTCTGACATAAACAATTTAAGGTATTTCACTAAAGCCTAAAGATTGTCCCACATGCAGGCTGGCCAACCCAATCCAGTGGTGAAGCTTTTTGTTGTCAATCTTTACGGGCCGACACACACGCTGGAGCTCATGCCACCAGACAGCCTCAAACTAAGGTGAGAAGAGCTTCATTTCTCTCATATGAAGATCACAGAATCTGTCGGATCGAATTGCTTAATAACACACAGTGATTTATGTTCTGCAAATTATTTTTATTGCTGTAATTAATTTGCAGAGAAAAACAAGATATGATCATCTTTCTGCCCCTAGGGATCATTATGTAACCATGGTAAAATGGATCAGTAAGACGCATACATCTGTTAGATGGTTGAACCGGGCTCAGAACATCTCCATTCTGACTGCGTGTGACACCACCACGGGAGCCTGTGTCACGGTATGTGCACCCCACAAACCAACAAAGAGGGTTGAGGGGCCAAGACAGATCTTTGACTTGTATTGGAAAGAAAAGAAAATATTTGCTGCGCTCCAGAGTCAAACTTGGAGCATCATGATTTTTGTCCTGACGCAAGCCTCCATGGGCATGGTTGGGAAATTTGAATGCATGCACATAGCGCACTTGACAGTTCGGTGGCTGAAAGTAGACTTAACCTTATGCCTGCAGGAACCACGTCTAAGTTTTGGTATGTGTATTAGAACACAATTTTAGTAAATTTGTTCAGAGCACAGGTAGAGGTAAGATCGGGTGGCCCGAGCCCGACCCGAATTTTGGTCGGGCCTAAAATGTCAATCATTGCTTCGGGTTCGGGTCGGGCTTCTCTCTCGCTGACTTTTTTTTTTTTGTTTCGAGGCCGTGAATAGTTTTGGCCACGAGAGACCGTGGTTCGCAAAAAACAGAAGTTGCCTCATCACAACACGTAGTGTACTAAACTCTTGCAATGACAATTCAAAGAACTCCTTCCAGTCTCTGTCAACTATCCACCCGTCATTGTTCGTCTTTGTCTCTCTGCTTCTCTCTCTTAAAGTGTCGTGCTAGATTCTTAAGGACGTACTGCTGCTGTGGTTTACGGCCCAATTTTCAACCCGTCAAAATGACGGACGGCCTTAAATTTTCCCCGTCCACTCTTAAAAAAAATCCGTCAATGATGGAAAATTGTCGGTTAATGTAACCTCTTCAGAAACAGAAATATAAAAGATGTAAATGTTTATACAGTCTTGTTTAACTTAGATTTCGTTACAAAAGACAGGCTTTGTTATCAGAAATCACCCCTCCTCCTCCCAAGTCCTCACAAATAAAATATGAAATCTCGGGTTTGCTTCAGGCTTGGGCCTGCAAATCAAGTTAAGTGATCGGGCTCGGGCCGGGTCGGGCTTAAATACCCTCGGGCCGGGTCGGGTTGGGCTCGATTTTTTAGGACTGATCTTAGCTCTAAGCACAGGTACACAGATTCTCAGCTGCATGTGCATACATGTATATATCTATCTATATATCTATAGATATATAGATATATATATATAGAGAGAGAGAGAGAGAGAGAGAGAGAGAGAGAGAGAGAGAGAGGTCCTTTTAAAAAATTAGCATATTGTGATAAAGTTCATTATTTTCCATAATGTAATGATACAAATTAAACTTTCATCATATATTTTAGATTTATTGCACACCAACTGAAATATGCAGGTCTTTTATTGTTTAAATATTTATGATTCTGGCATACAGCTCGTGAAAACAAAAATCCCTATCTCAAAAAATTGGCATATTTCATCAGACCAATAAAAAAACAAGTGTTTTTGATTTAAAAGAAAGGCAATCGTCAATAATAATGTTCAGTTATGCTCTCAATACTTGGTCGGGAATCCTTTTGCGGAAATGATTCGTGCTTCAATGCGGCGTGGCATGTAGGCAATCAGCCTGTGGCACTGCTGAGGTGTTATGGGGGCCCAGGATGCTTCGATAGCGGCCTTAAGCTCATCAACAATGTTGGGTCTGGTGTCTCTCAACTTTCTCTTCACAATATCCCACAGATTCTCTTTGGGGGTCAGGTCAGGAGAGTTGGCAGGCCAATTGAGCACAGTAATACCATGGTCACTAAACCATTTACCAGTGGTTTTGGCACTGTGAGCAGGTGCCAGGTCGTGCTGAAAAATGAAATCTTCATCTCCATAAAGCTTTTCATCAGATGGAAGGATGAAGTGCTCAAAAATCTTCCGATAGCTAGCTGTATTGACCCTGCCCTTGATAAAACACAGCGGACCAAGTCCAGGAGCTGGCATTGCATCCCAGAGCATCACTGACTGTGGGTACTTGACACTGGACTTCAGGCATTTCCTTCTCGCCAGTCTTCCTCCAGACTTTGGCACCTTGATTTCCGAATGACATGCAAAATCTGCTTTCATCCGAAAAAAGTACTTTGGACCACCGAGCAACAGTCCAGTGCTGCTTCTCTGTAGCCTAGGTCAGCCGCTTCTACAGCTGTTTCTGGTTCAAAAGTGGCTTGAACTGGGGAATGCGGCACCTGACCTGTAGCCTCGCCTGTGCATGGTGGTTCTGGATGCTTCTACTCCAGACTCAGTCCATTGCTTCCACAGGTCCCCCACGATTTGGAATCGGCCCCTCTCGACAATTTTCCTCAGGGTCCGGTCACCTCTTCTGGTTGTGCAGCGTTTTCTGCCACACTTTTTCCTTCTCACAGAGGTGCCTTGATACAGTACTCTGCAACCAGCCTCTTCGCTCAGAGATTTATTCTGTGTATTACCCTCTTGTTTGAGGGTGTCAATGGTGGCCTTCAGGACAGCAGTCAGGTCGGCAGTATTACCCAGGATTGCGGTTTGGAGGTTTTCAAAGACTCCGAAATCATTTGCGGGTGTTTAGAGTTAATTCGTTGATTCAGATGATTAGGTTAATAGCTCCTTTAGAGTACCTTTTCATGATTTGCAAATTTTTTCAGATAGGAATTTGGTGTTTACAAGAGCTGTATGCCAAAATCATCAGTATTAAAACAATAAGAGATCTGAAATATTTCAGTTGGTTTGCAATAAATCTAAAATATATGAAAGTTTATTTTTTCTCATTACATTATGGAAAATAATGAACTTTAACACTCCATGCAAATTTTTTTGAGAAGGACCTGTATATGTGTGTGTGTGCGTGTGTGTGCGTGTGTGTGTGTGTATGTGTGTGTGTGTGTGTGTGTGTGTGTGCACTCACAAAAATAAAGGGAACACTTAACAGCATGTGTGTATATATATATATATATATATATAGGACCCGAGCTGAATGAGGGACGGACACCAC